TGATGTTAGTGGTGCAGGGCTGGTGGCCCAGGGCTGGTCCCTCCTGGTGTGCACCTCAGCACAGGTGTGCCTCTCACCTGCACACATGCCAGCTGTCTGTCTCTCTTCTGGCTCTTCCTGGTATCTTTGGAAATTCCAACAATTGGATGGGATCACGACAAATTAAAAATAGTGTTGTTATGACATAATCTTTCTTTTGCAAGGCTGACTTCTGCCTTATTGCATACACCTACATATGGTGTTATAGCTTAAACGACTGAAGGACATTCATGTCAAAAGCTGACAATGAGGTTCATTAGGGTAACCCTTCTGACCCTTAGGTAGTGACCACTAGATGACCCCAATGTAGAGTTTAAAAGGGACAGTGCTGGACAGTTAAACCCCTTACTGTCCTGTTTAATGTACCATCTTGACAGTTTGAACTTACGATTGACAATTACAAGAAAAGATTGTGAAGTATTACCAAACTTAGAGAAAAAAGAAAGATATATAATTCCGATCACACATCAACCAATCAACCAATTTTTATTATACCATATATTACATGTAACCTTCTGACCCTTAGATAGTGACCACTAGCTGACCCCAATAGAGTTCAAAAGGGTAACTGGTGGTGGACTAAGTAGTTTGGATTGTGACAATAACTAAACATTATGTCTTCTGCTCTAATCTTTTGTTATCTTCAACTGAGGTGAAGCCTGATGCTTTTTGAAGGCAGTACAGTTTTGCTATGGCTGACATACATGTACCTAGCCACACACCTAGTCTTCTCAAGAAGAGTCCTTTTATGTAAATGGTTTGATACCATAAGTTCTCTTATACACTGGGCTGCAAGAAGCAATTTGATTTGTTGGTTGTCAGATTTTTTCAGAGAAAAAATGAAACAACAGAGAAAAAAACAGGCCAGGGCATCCTATGATAGCTCTAAATGCTGTGATAGGAGCCATGTCCTCAACATACATGTACCAGGCTGGTTTGTAATTCAAACAGTGAATTTCAAACTTTTAATCAAAGTACAATAGATAGAAAAACTGTAGTAAAGTTATAACAACTGTAGCAACAAAGGAACTGTTGGGGCCAAAATATGATCATTTTGGAGTCGATTCAAGACCTGAAATGTTTGTTTTTTTTACAAACCACAAAAAAAATCAACCAGGTGAATCGACAACCAACAAGTTGAATTGATGTGGCCCTAAATGATATAAATTTGAAGACTTAACAAATTCAGTATTTAAGAATAAGTATCATATATCAAGATGCATGAAGAAACCATTTCTATACTAATGTTGTTTCATAACATGTTGTTGTGAAGGTGTCCCTGTCCTTGGTGCTAAAATCACATTCACAAGGTATCATACATGGTTGTTCTAGTGTGTTGAAAAGATTTTATAGCAGCATCTCCTGATTGAAATGTATGTACATGATTGTGTACCCTTTCTAAACTATCAAAATATTGATTTTGACAGATCTATGGGTTATTATGTGGGTTGGTCTTATTTTGAGTAATAGTACTGGCAAAATTAAATACACATTTACTAACATTATTCATGCCAAGTATTTCACTATAGGAAATTAGTGAGTGGTAAAGGTTGCAGTTTGTCAGAGTGGCTACTTTTATTGGCAAAGGTCCTAATCATAGTCTCAGAAACTTCAATCATAATCATACTACATGTACATATGTAGATATGTACATGTACATATCAAGACCTGATGTGATGTGATGTTCATTGGTCATCGTCGACTACGACGGACGAACAACAACAACATGTACATATAGGAATATGTTAGGATGGTCTCGCATATGAATCCTAAATGTCAAATTTCTATATCAATCTAGAGTGACATGATCTTTATCAAATTAAAAAGTTCTGAATGTTTTTACAGACCCCAATCAGGATCTCTAACCACTTTTACGAAGCATTGTAAGTTACAACATACTCATGTACCAGGGCTCGAAATTTTTGGGAATAGGTGCACTGGTGCACCCAACCTAAAAAATTGGATGCACCATATGAAATATAATAAGTAGAATGTCAGCACAAACTAATTATGTTTCATTTCTAAAGAAAAGTACTATTACAATAATGATGATTTTATTATTTTTCTGACACTTAGATGTTAAGAATATGTTGTGTATATATATATATATAATTTAACATCTAAAATAAAAACCTACAAAAATATTTGGGTGCACTGGTGCACCCAGAGAAATAGATTGGGTGCACAGCTCCAACTTTGGGTGCACTAAGGTGCACATGCACCCATTATTTTCGGCCCTGAGTACTAAATGCCCTTACACATGTATATATGGAAGGGATTAACTGTGAAAAAGTTTAACTGCAGAGGTTGCTTAAAAACAACCTTTTACTGGTCCGTCATTCCTTAGAAAGTAGTTGACTTTGTAACAGTTGAACAAAGCAGAAGGCTACAAATACTTGTCCATGAAATGGTGGTACCAACAACAGCCAAACATCTGAAGAATTCCTTAATCTACATTATTTGTATCTAAGACATGTCAAATCATCTCTTTATCAGATCTACTAACAGGTGTTTTGGGAGAATATTTGAGCAAAGATATTTATGATATTTGACAGTACAGAGTGATGGATTATAGACTTGTGATGGTTGATAATACAGGGTCCGTGAGACGTTATGTTGGCACCTTTCCCACCACAAACAGACAAACATTGGAATCCTATTGTCAGTCATTACATACATGTAGAGATAGTGCTGTGTACCGGTTTGCTGGACTGGTTCTGGACTTGTAAAAATGTGTAGGTTCAAGTAAAAAAACCTAAAAGGCAAGAGCCAGTTCTGGACTTATTACAAAAAAAACATGTCAACCACCCTTTTTCATTCCAAACTAGTAAAACCTTCCATTGACAGCAAAATTTGAACTGCAAAATGAAAAAAACATTACCATTGGGCATCGTCAAGTATCGGCCTCCATGTTATGTGGCCACAGTTTTGCCCAGACAACATTGTTGCCAACATGCAATTTTGTATATGCCCTAGGTTTACAATGTAGGTCCGAACTTGTAACCTAAACCTCTGGACTTGAATTCGTACCTAAACCTAAATGTGGGTTTAGGTATGCAGCACTACCCCTAAAATGTTACGCATTTATTGAGGAGCCATATTATTATTATTGATAATTGCTGGCCTTTTGGGACAATTTGCTGGCCGACAGACATTACCAGAGGAATGTAACTAGTTGGAGCTGTGTGAGTGTTATCCAGGTATTACTGTGCTCTGTGGAATGTTAACTTCTCTCTTTAAGTACTAGTAATTAAATGTCAGAAAATGTCAACATCAGGCAGATTTCCTAATTCAGAATATTTTTTAGTTTTGCCATCCAGAAATTGCATTAGATGCCTTTGAAACTCAACAAGGATTCAGTTTGATAAATATTAAGTTCCCCTGAGTCATAATAGCTTATAATATTGATAAGTTTATTGCAAATTCCTGCCCAAAGGCTAATTGCAAATAACAAAGATAAAAGAACATTCAAACAGAATACAAAATAACTTCAAAATCTATACAAGAAAAGGTAATTGTCTGAAACTATGTCTAAAACTATGTCTGAAGGGTTTGACTTCTCGTTTGAAAACCAAGATGTAATGGCCCACCTTTTCCAAACTTTGTGGGGTTTGGGTAGTTAAAAGAAGAATTGTAGTTTTTTTCTTTATCTGGAAGTTTAGAGAAATAGGGATAATATATCTGATTCATTGTCCTGATGTTTGTGGCATCTGCTCCTGAGAAAGTGCTCTCAGACTGGTATTATCCCAGATTTCCCACACATGGTCAGACATACCTGTGTACTCACCTGGTGACACTACCTGCCCCCCCCCCCGTCATACCTGTCCTGCCATGCCGATCCTTATCATCTCTTTAGTTGGAGTTGCCATGGCAACAGTAGATGGACCTAAGGCACGGAGGTCATCTGAAGGACAGTAGACAAGCTGACTCTACACCAGGTCCGCCACTTAGAGCTTAAAGGAGTACTAAAGGCCCCCGAAATTAAGTCTGTAGCATAGCTTTCTTGGTCAATACATAGACACCAATGGGGTAGCACGATGCATACTGGGATAGTTTAAAGGGTTAATTTAATTTGTGGAGTTTGTCCTGGATTCAATGCGTTTTAAGACTTGCACACATAATTTGTATTCAACTATACACTCCTAAAATTAATGCGAGATATAGCAGTCCCTTCTGGCCTTTAGTACTCTGAGGTGTTAGCATCAAGAATAAAAATTTTGTAAGCCTCTCTTTTATGATTCACAATTCACATTCTCGTTCAGAGTGGCGTTTATCTCATGGTAGGGAGGAAAAGAAGGTTTTAGAAGTTTGTGGTTAAAAGGATTCTGTTGCACAATGAACAACAAAACATATTCAGTATTATGATTTCATAGATTCAATATAAGATGTCACCATGAAAACTGAGAAAATATACTTACAGATGGCAAAAGTTTCTGCCTTTACAATAGTGGGATATCAGTCCTATCTGACTACAATAACTCTCCAAGACACAACAATTACAAAGCTGGGTGGCGTCAGGTGGCGTAGTGGTAGACAGTTCGACTATGAAACAGTGAGACCCGGGTTCGATCCCTAGTTGTACCCGGGACATGTCTGGACATGCTCCCCGACGTTGTGTCCTTGGGAAAGGCACTTTACACGACTTTCCTCACCCCACCCAGGTGTGAATGGGTACAAATGTACCTAACTTCGGTTGGGTAAAGTTGTATTGAGGTCACCTGGTGGCGCCGAATGGCAGCCGCACAGACCCTTGTGACAGTTCCACAAAAATGTAGCAAATATGTTACATGTATCATGTGTATTATGTGATTGTAAATCCTGCATCAATTCAGCGCTATAAAAGGCTGCGTTTGCACGGGTAATGTTTGACCAAATAAACCATTTTTAAACCCAAAAACTGTGTATTGCTATGTAATATGCTGCACTTGTTAACAGAGTGTTGTTATAATTGTGTTTTTCAGTTTTTCCTCAAGAATGGGATAGAGTATGACCCAGAGTACCTCTTCTATGATGTTAAGGTGAGATTAAAACTTATGTTATAACTGACTGTTATAATAAGAAAATAACCCTGGGTTTGGATTTAAAGTTCCTTCCTAACCCCTTAACCAATAGGGAACTTGGATGGCCTAATGGCTACTTCAGTGTGCTAAATGTTAAACAGTTACATGTACTTATTTCTTAAATCAGATCTATAAGACTTATTGATTCATGCATTGTCTGAGACAGGGAAGCCGGCAGCAAAATTATTCAAACCCGGATATGTATATTGTCTGGTCTATTATGAATTGCAGCCACTTTAATTTGTTTTCGTTCTTTTTTTCAGAATGCAGTCATATCAGTACACCTCAGTGGGGACATGCACAAGGCTGTGGCCAAGGACATGGGTAAAGATACTGTACTACTGGCATATCAAGGCTTACAGCATACTAGTGAGACAATGCTGAAGCGCCCCCTAGCAGTGCCTGCCTGAAGTACAGGCACCTTTTCAGAATGCAGTCAAATCAGTGCACCTCAGTGGGGACATGCATAGAGCTGTAGCCAAAGACAAGGTCTAAATTTTGTATAAGAATTCTCCATAAACAAAAACTTACACTTAACTGTAAAGTAAACCGTACATTTCTGTCATTATGGAAGGAGAACATGTAAATTTGTTGAATTTTTCAGGTTCAGGTCCGGACCTTTACCCCAACCCATGTACCTATACCTAAAATTTGTTAAGGTGCTCAGCTTTACCCTCTCCCACTGCAGACAGATACCTTGAGCGTGGTGAGGAGATATCCCAGCTACTGAGAAGGCTGGCCGGGGCGGGTAAAAAACTCTTCCTCATCACCAACAGCCCCTTCTGGTTTGTGTAAGTACTGCAGCTCTATACTTACTTCTCTATACTATATATAAATGTCTGCCGATTATTGTGTTGTATACTCTGTTGGGTTCAGTAAATATTTGGTTTCACCCTGATTTCCATTTTAAAACAAAAGAATTTTAATTTGCTGGACCAACCTATAAAAGGTATGGTGATACATTCATTGTTTTGGGTGTTGTCAGCGTTCTATCCAGCTCAAAATTGTTTTACGTCAGCCCAAGTTCATTAACAGACTTGGGGGAAGAGTGCTTACAATCTATTTTGGGTCCGGGGACAAATTTTCGATTTTCAAGCCTTTAAACTTTAAGCAATTTTTCACAGTTTGAGAGGCAAATTATGGGGTTTAGAGTTGGTTGGTGGTGGTCCTCTGGATGTTTTATACTTTTACCCAAGATTTTTGTCAGTTTTGTCCTTCAAAGTTGACGGATTGGTTGAAAAATTTTCCATCAGACATTGGTGCTGGCTAGAGCCCTGGGTTTGTCTGTCTGTGTGCTTGCTAGTCTGTTCATGGGTATTTGAATGCAGTAGTCTAAGAGGAAGGGGGAGAATTTGTAACTGCAGGTTGACATTAAGGTCAAGTTGGCAGTCTCCCTATAGGTTGTGAGGAAGTTAGTGCAACCACACAGTAACTTGGGATATTGTACACAATACTCAAGCACAACAAGCTCTCGGCCTGCAAGCTTTCTGTCCTATAGGTCCATTGAAAGTACGTCAAGACATGTCTTTGGTTTAGCGAATAGATTTATAAAACTTTGAAGTACAAAATGTACTTTCTGAAGGTTAGAAATCTCCAATTTTTTGTTTTCTGATAAATGTATATAGTACAGTTTCAGATAATATGTTGATTGACACCTACAGTAAATACATGTATTAGGGCAATTGCTATAATGTTATGACCAAAAGGGCTAAACAGTCTAGCCAACACTAAGTAAATTGGGACTTACCCAAATTACCCAAATTTTGTTCACGGAATAGACCCTTCTACAGCAGCTTCCGGGATGTGACGTCAGAAACATGTGATTGCAGCAAAGGGTCGTATGTGTCAGATAACCTGTGTCGCCCCCGTCTCCGTTCGTTGAACGATTGGCTAGAACGTTTAGCCCTTTTGGTCATAATGAAGTATACCAACACAAGTGAACTTTCATGCTAAGATGCTGTAATGTTGTTTGCCCTTGTAGCCAGCGAGGGATGGAGTACATTTCTGGGCCCAACTGGATGGAGATGTTTGATGTCGTCATTGCAGAGTCCAGGAAACCAAAGTTCTTCACTGACACTAAAAGGTCAGGAACAGCATCATTACTTGTGAAGTTCTTTTTGTTATAATTAGTCTGGACAGGGTAGCTATAGGTTGACAGCACTTAAAGGAAGATTGACATGCAGAATAACAGGTCAAAAGTTCAGACTTATGAAACAGGGTAAACAGGGTCTTGAAATCAGGAGCCGGCAGGATGTAGTGGTGGACATGGGGGAATTCAGGAAGCCGAGGAGTTCATATTTCCCAGCAGTCAGAAAGCTCTGATTTCTTGCTGTAAACTTTAAGGTCTTCCACAGTCTACTTTTCTTGTTATCTGCTGATCAAGACCTCATATCAAATTGTCATGAAAAGTCCATTAAAATTGATTGTTAGCTGACTATCATATTCAGAAAGAACTGTACTTTTTAACTGCATGATTGAGAATATCTATGAAATGCAATCATGGTTCCCACAGATAAAATATGTTTTTGATGCAGACCATCTTAGGCAAACATTTTTCTGTTACCACAAATGGAAAGAATGAGTTCGTACAGCATTATCTTCTTAAGTAAAAACAGAATGTATGATTGTTTAACTTGTGTATTGATTTCTATAGTTTTCTATTTGTTTGCTACATGTAGTTAGTTGATATAATAGACCACCAGGTCCTGTACCTACAGATGTAGCCCTTCAAGTTCAAGGAACAAATGTATGACAATCATTAAACTGATGGATCCTTGCAATTGTCTTGTTCCCAGACCCTTCCGAGAAGTCAGTAAGACACTGGGGACCTGTAAGTTTGAGAGGGTGACTAGTCTGAGGAAAGGACAGGTCTATATACAGGTGGGTAAAAGTTACTTGTAGAGAATCAGCCCTTATTTCATGACTTGGCTTCTAGCTAACTTTGACTCACTCACTCACTCACTCACTCACTCACTCACTCACTCACTGTCCGGTTTATCGTCTGTTGTTCCCCGTCTTCTGAGGGTTAGACGTGCTTTCATTGGAAAACTCTGTGTGTGATTGCAAAAAATTAATATTTATTTTCTGACTTTTATGGTTGGCACTAAAATTTTCCACAAGAGGCATGCTCATTTTGTAGCACCACCACAAAATACCATGTACACAAACATGGTCAACATCCGTGTTTCCAGTTTTTAAACACCTGTATATGGTACATGTATATTTTGGCAGCTTCACTTCCTAAATAGCACTTAGTTGCAATGAAGTAGGGTTTATTTAACTTACTTTATTCATTATTCTTTATTCAAGACAGTGGTCAGCATAGCAGTAGATAACAAATTATGGACCGCTGAATTGTGCTGACCATTACATAGTAGTACATGAAAATACAACATGCATGTACTATTAGGCCACACCAAGTAAATTTTATGGATGACGTCTGCGCGCGCATTGATTTCGGCCTGTTCCTAGAAAAAAAAACAAGAAATTCCACTTCCTGTAACTATGACCAAAGAGTCACGACAGTGCCACAAATCGTCAGATTGACGTGAAACCCGTAACGCGAGAACAGGGCAGGGCGACAACTGCTGTTACACCTGATTTATTGCTGTTTTGATTACGAATAAAAGACTTCTTGCTTGTTACACTGTGTCACCTCATTCAAATTGTGCCCTAACATTTGTCGTCTCTTAGTATATTTCTAATCTAGTCATCTTGTTTTTTAGGGCCCTTCTTGTTTTTTTTTCGCCCTCTCGCATTAGATTTAGGGTCTCAAGAGGACGTCATCCATAAAATTTACTTGGTGTGGCCTTAGGTACAAACAAAACATACAGATTCACGACAATGACAATATGTACCACACATAAAAAACTTTAAATTCTGCATTTGACTGTTACTTTGTAAAGGATGACCAGAAAATTGACATTTTGTATCTCTTAATGTTACTTACTTAATACCTGTAATTTATCCGTCCCCTTTTACCGTCTGGAGCTTCATGTGGAGGGACAATTGGCGGCCGAGGGCTAGTCTGCCATTATACATATATATAGTCAGGGTATCCTTCCCACTCTATCCATGTCTTCCTCTGATGTCCCCTGGCCTTAAACCCTGAGTTTCTGTTGTTGTATGATCTGTGTGGAAGTTTTTGTGGTGGCATCCTTACAAGGTGTCCAAACCACTAATGTTACATTGTAGCTTAGTGAGTTAGTTGACCCCATGTGTTCTCTCTGTGACAGGGTAATCTGCAGGACTTCCGACAGATGACAGGCTGGTATGGAGCCAGGGTGCTGTACTTTGGGGATCACGTCTACAGTGATTTGGCGGTAAGGCCATGTTGATTTGATTACTACTATATGGATAACATGAATTTTTGTCCGTTTCCAAAAAAAAAGTTTTCACCATACTTTACAATCATGTAAATAGTACAAAATTAGCGAATATTTGTTGGTATAGCATGTAAATCAGAGTGTACTGCACCTGCGCGAAACCCGTAATGCATTGTACATAGCAATTCGGCAGAACGTCTCATACATGTATAAGGTCATATTTGCGCATATAAGGTTAACAACCCATCTGTAGTTTCCAAATGTTACGTCGGAAAAGATATCGTCTGCAACAGGCAAAATTCTGATGCAACATTGACCAAAAATCCAAGGAAAACCGCAAAAATCCAGGGTTCTGCGTATAAGCGCAGTACGTTCTGCCGACGTGATAGTCGGTATGTTGCAAAAAAAAAAGGATTGGAAAATGATACAAATGTCATAGAATGCCAAAATCAATTTAGGAAAAGTTGCTCATTGCCTCCTGGTATGGAGGTATTGTTTTTAATGTCTGAGTCAGGTTTGTCCAAATAGCTTCCCTTGCATTTGCATGGTGGGTGGGAAGTGATTTTAACAGTTGATTGATATGGGGCCACATTTGAAGATTACCCAGCACAAGCCAGACAGTAATTGCGAAGTATGGGAAGAATCAAGTGCTGTAATACCTGTGTCCTGTGTGTAAAGTACAATGTCATCATACAAACAAGGGTCACAAAACTCAAAATACCTCTGATTTCTTGTTTGTGACTGCAGGATCCCTTCCTGAAGCATGGCTGGAGAACAGGTGCCATCATACCTGAACTGGAGGTAGGGAGTGTCTGCTGGTCACTGTGGAAAAGTGGCTGGTTTAAAGTCAGGAGGAGGGAGTTACACATGTTTTTTTCAGTAGATAATTTATCAATAGATACATAATCAGCAGATGTTTAGAGTTAAAACTTTAGATCCAACACAAAAAGTTCTCTCACCTGGAGCTTTCGACCAGTCACTCTGGTCTTCCTCAGTAGACTAACCCAGTGAAGCTTGTCACGTGGCTTCTTTGAAGTGTGACGTCATCACTGGGTCAAAGGTATCTGGTAGACGATGTCGGCCCCGTCGCGGTTAAGTAAAGGGTGATGGGCCCTGATGTAAATGGCTTCCTTCACCCCTCTCAGGAAATAGTCTTGTTCAGTTTCCAAAATTCAGTGTCCAGTGTTGGATCTAATTGAAAAAGTCTTAACTCTAAACATGTAATTACCAACACAGATGAACTTTCATGAATATAATCAGCAGATGTTTTGCAGGATTTCACTCGCAATGTGCGTCTTGTAAAATGACATCAGTATCGCTTCATGTGGAACCTACCAAATGCATTTTCTATATAATACATTATGATACTTTTTTCACTTTTTTTCAGGATGAATATTTTTGGCATCGATGCCAAATGAATAAGAACACCAAGGAAGCCAAATTGTTGAACACATTTTAAAGAACACATAACAAGATGATTCATTGCAAAATGGATTTTTCAGCCCACAATAGGTATGGAGTAAAAGATGAATTCTTTTATCCTTCCAGGATGAGATCAAAATCAGCAACTCCGCCAGCTACAAGGACACCATCTCCTGGTTACTGGCACTACAGGGACTGATCGAGAGTCAACAGGTAATATGTGGTGTAGAGTGCATCAACATACTCAAAAGTCTTATGGAAGGTTTGAAACTGTTACTGACTTTGGGTCTGACACCTGGTCCAGATGGTCATTTTAGATAGCCTAGATGCCAGCCTTTTCAGTTTGCTTGCTTCTTTATTAAGAAGACCTGCACATGTTTTAATATGATAGTATCTAACATTTGAATTTGTTCAGAGTTTAGAAAGAACTGCATGAATTGGCCAAATAAAAGTCATCAGAAGCCCTAAGCAAGGCAACAGTGCTTGGAGTGGCTCATTTAACACAATATGATTACACTACAATAGTTTACAATAGTTACAATATGAATATGTGCAGGCCCGGTGTTCTCCATGTTGAGACAATTAGAGGTTTTTTTTGTTTTTTTTTTTTCAACCTTTATTTAACCTTGAAAATGTACAGTACAATTTCGTAGCAGTACAAACTCTTCGGCCTAAGCCGTTTTTCAAGAGGTCAAGGGGAGGCAGGTCAGGGGTCTTTGCATATTCTTCTTCAGTTCAGTTACAATTCGGCGTATAATTACAATATAAATATATACACAGTAACGTTATACAATAACCAAACACTATCTCTGTTCGTATAACTCATCAGTTTCAAACATCCAAAATTCACTTCACAAATTTAGTCATTCTAATTTCTAACTTGTGACTTGACGCAGCCGGTTTTTAAACGCTGCAACTGACGAAGCCGTTCTTAACTCAGTTGACAAGTTATTCCACAGTACCGATCCTGAGTAGGAAATTGATCTTCTGTACACTTCCCGACGAACCCTTGGCACATACAAAAGGTCAGATACACTTTGCCGCGTGGTTCTTACTGCCCTATCACTACAGTATGTAAACAGTTCTCTCATGTAGGCTGGCAAACAGTTATTAAGGCTTTTATAAGTTAGCAGGGATTTCTGGTCTCTGTGTATGGATTTGATGTCCTTCCATCCCAGTCGAGTCCGTACTTCAGCCGACGGCGTTCTGTGCGGGGCTCCCAGCAGCAGCCTCCCAGCCCTGTTCTGCATCCGTTGAAGTTTCTGTAGCTCTTGCAATGGTGCAGTGTCCCAAACAGTACTTGTGTAGGTTACATATGGTAGAAAAATACTGTTGTACAAAGTACGTAGTGCTAATGTGGATATGAAGGGACTGACGTGCTTCATGATACTTAGGGATCGTCTTAGCTTACCCAGTACGTGTTTAACATGCCCTTTCCAGTTCAGATTATTGTCAATGTATATACCTAAGTACTTATATATGTTACACATGGTTACAGGTTGAGCATTAATAACCAAGCTGGGGTTGTTACTGTTTTTCAGTCTTTTGTCTGTACCCAGCAACATGCACTTACATTTACCTCCATTCACAGACAGAGAGTTCACAGCAAACCATTGAGACAGCCTTTCGAGATCTTCTTGTAGGACAGTCTCAATGGTATCAACATCCTTGCTGCTGACATAAATGACCGTATCATCGGCATACATTGAGATGCTACAACTTTGAATACAATTTGGCATATCGTTTACATAAATAATGAAAAGTAGTGGTCCTAAAATTGACCCTTGGGGCACACCATACTTAACCGTGTGAAAGTCAGAAGTGACACCATTTACAGCGGTGCAATGCTGTCTTCCAGTGAGGTAAGAAGTGAACCAGTCAAGGGCTCCACCCTGGATACCGTACTTGAACATTTTTTGAAGAAGGATAGCATGATCAAGAGTATCGAACGCCTTAGATAGGTCAATAAAGACAGCCCCTGTTAAGTCTCCAGCGTTCATGGCGGCGAACCATTTCTCAACCAATAAATGTGCAGCGGACTGTGTAGAGTGTTTTGGTCGGAAACCAGACTGCCTATCAGAGAGAATGTTATTTTCGGTAAGATAATCGTAGAGCTGAGTATGTACAGCTCTCTCAAGGATTTTTGAAACAGTTGGTAAGATGCTAACTGGTCGGTAATTATTTGGAAGGGCTCTGTCGCCAGCCTTGTGGATGGGCGTTACCCTCGCCTGCTTCCAATCCTCCGGAAACTCCTGCTTAGCTAGTGACTCGTTCAGAATGTCTGTGAGAGAAGGAGCGATGACATCAGCCGCAGCCTTCAGGAGCCTGTTGTTAAGTTGATCAAGACCGGTGGCTTTGCTAGTATTTAGCATTCTGAGCTCCTGTTTGACGAATCCTCCATGTGACAGATTGACAAATAAGTATACACTGCACAAAATCTATTCTTTAAGGTATGCATTAAGGTCCATTTTACTCTCTTGTGTACGTTTACGCATGGTTTAAGATATACCTACATGTAAGCTGATGTAGTAGCTGTTTGACAGGACTGGTAGATAAGCGGATGATTGTACAGAGATGTGTACTAATAGATTTGATGGTCATGGTTCCCCCCAGATGAGCAGACATGACGTAGCTGTACAGAATGTGCTACAAGACTGGCTGAAGGAGATGAGGGAACTTAGGTAACTAAAATGCTTTTTATCAATTTTATAATACAACTTCAGCAGGTACATTATGTTCTTGAACAATTCAAACTCAACTTAAAAATGGATAGTATTATGGGGATACGTTTGGCGTTTTGAGTGACATCCAATACTCTTCTTTAGTGTAACCTCCAAGTAGTGTTTTAGGTTTATGAGAATTTGAAATGTGGAGGGGATTTATTTTTGAATAACAATTCAACTTCTGAATTCCTCCACATACAGTTGGTATTACACTGCTCCCTGAATTCCTCCACACACTTACCCCCACCCAGGGTCACCTTCAGGTTTGCCTACCTTGTCAATCACTTGTCAAAATCCCTTCCCACCCACCATGTAACCAAAGCTACTAGTACAAGAGCCCCTCAATTCAGCCACCCAAAAAAATACTTCCATATCCTAAAACTGTAAACTTTGTCATTATTTACTTGACAATGTAAATGCCCAGACACAGGCCCATATAACAATTATCCTTACCTACATTAATTATCAAAAATGGTTAAGAAAGTACAATTGCAGTACTGTGTTTCACTGTATGATTTTCCTTCCAGACATTACACAAAGGACATCTTCAACCCCCAGTTTGGCAGCCTGTTCCGTACGCACCACAACCCCACCTACTTTTCCCGCCGTCTCATGCGATTCGCCGACATCTACACCTCGTCTGTCGCCAACCTGCTGCACTTCCCCATCGACTACACGTTCTACCCGCGCCGCTCAGCGCTGCCTCACGAGATCAACTACGACTCCTGAGTCTGAAAGGCAGGGCTGTCTCCACCATTTTTGTCAATTTTTGCAAAACTATGGGATCTAGGGGCACACTCCGCTGGCAAATATTGGCATATTTTATGTACTTTTAGAAGCAAATTTTGACACTTATGTCATTATTAACCATCTAATTTTAATGTCATTAAGTCCAGATTTTGGAGACAGACATCGTGTTTGTTTTTTTTGTTCCAACAAGCAGATTTCTATCCCAGATGAGGGGACAGGTCCTGGAGACAGCCCTGTTTAAAGGCCAAAATTTCATCACAGTGACTGTTCTTCAACCATTTAACATAGTAACTGTAAGGTCTATGTAGTACTGTAATGTGCATGCGAAATTTAATCATCTTGCACCTAGATGTCTGATCTGTGCAATCACTTTAAGTCAGCAATAAACATTGTATTGACTTGCTGAAATGTGTGTAAAATTGTGGTACATATACATGTAGACGACAAGATCACCAGCACAACTTTTAACCTGTTACAGTAGTTTAACCTGTTGTAGTTTTGTAATATAACATGTCATAGTGACAGAATGACCAAAATGTGGTTTATCATTAGGCCACACCAATTTACTTTGTTGGTTCTCGGATTTGCCTCTTAATTTTTTTTTCTGATTTGCATTCATTTTTTCCTGATTTGCAAATAAAACTCAAAAATGCTCATATTTTGCCCCCAACAGTTGAGGAAAGTCCTTCCTAGTTGCTGCAGTTTTTACATCTATCAATGCAGTGGTTTGATTAAAAGTTTAAAATTCATAGTTTAACTATCAACCCAGCCTTTTGTGTTGACTTCATGGCTCCTATCGTAGCATTTGGGGCTGTAATAGAATACCTAGACGTATTTTTTTCGCTGTCGCTTCATTTTTTTCTGAAAAAATTCGAGTACCAACAAATTAAATTGGTGTGGCCTTACTTCTGATTGATTTGCTGTGGTAAGATACAGTGTAATACAGAAGGAACTCACAATGTAATGTGACGTAAATGTAGATTCAATCCTTTTCCTCTATGTGCAATTGCAAAATACAAGCCAGGTTTTGCCGACAAATTGATTCTATTGAATCACCAACTTTTAGATTGTCTTTATTGCCTTTGCCATGCGAGTTGCATGTTTTTTGTAATGATTGTGTGTCTGCCTGCTTGTCTGTCTGTTTGTCCACACAAGAACTTGAGAAGGCTTAGATATATTGATATTTAGTAGGTGGTAGGTGATGATGAGACTACGAAATCATTAGATTTTGGTCCCCTTGGTGATTTTCACTGGGATTGCAGTTGGACTTCCAGTTGTGCATGATGCCTCATGTTCTAGATATGCTAGGGTTACCATCTTTGTGGCTCCTGGCTTTCCCAACACCTTGCCTCAAGTCACTTTTCTATTGAGGTACCTCTTATACCTACATGTAATACAATACTAACTAGAAAGGCATTGCAAATGTATGATTTTTACCTTCAATCACAGGGTCTAGCCTAACAAACAAATTCTCTGCTTATTGCAACTCAAACTTACTCATAATTATGTGATGATCGGCCCCTCCAGCTCTGTGCTGCTACAAAATCTAACGGTTACTGTGGTGTTTGCTACAGCCAGTTACCATGGTGACAGACATTTTTGGCAAAGGTAAACATAATTTCTTGTGGTGCTGACCTTTGCATCTTACCAAGGGACACTACATCTAGCAAATTCTATGACATAAACTACTCCACACTTTTATTATGTACTTTCCATATACTAGTAGTATACCCCACATGCTGAGACATACATGTAGTTGTGTAGCCTCTACCAGGCTTTGGGAGGCGGCTGGAAAGAGTAGAAATTGGCCACATTTATAAAGGGACGTTATCAGATAGTCAGGTGACGTTAACCAATCAAAAGTCCCCATTTCCTGTTGGTTATGACACCGTAACCTTCAGTCATATAAACACCGTGATGTTTAAATCACATAAACACCGGAACCAATCATCTTCGACCGTGCTTCTCCAATGACGTCAGATTGGAAACATGGCGGAACATGATTCGGGTTAGAAAGCAGACAATTTTAAGTTTACCAGTCATCTTTGCAGGGAGAGAACATTATAGGAGTTGCAATTGGGCAATTTAGATCTATGTTGTACATGTATGTATGTATGTATTTATATATATAATATCTGCAAGTTCACAGTTTTAACTTTGCACTGCAGTCTGAAATCCCTGATTTTTGTTCTTTTTTTTACATCGACATCATCTCAAAACATCGCAATAAAACGATCTTGGGTATTGACATAGTCTTGTAGTTTAATTAGTTACGTGCAGTTACAGTCATTAGACTACATTCTGTTGTTTCATCGTGAAGTACATTCTTGTAGCATTAGTGCATTGTACATGAAAGATTATGATATAATGCAAGGCCACACCAATTTAATTTCTTGGTTACCAGATTTTTCTAGAAAAATAATGGAGCGGGCGGGCGAAAAAAAATAAAATAAAAACAGGCCTAGGCATCCTTTTATGGCCCAAAATGGTACGATAGGAGCCACAAAGTCAACGCACCAGGCTGGTTCAAAATTTAAACAATGAATTTTTAATGATACCACTGTATTGAAAGATGGAATAACTGTAACAACTAGAAAGAAAAGGGCTGTTTTTAACTGTTCAGGGCAAAGTATGAGCATTTTGCAGTTGATTCTGAATTTTTATTTTTATTTGCAAATCAGAAAAAATGAAGCGGGCGGATCCATTAACCAATAAATAAAATTGGTGTGGCCTAAGTAAAGATAAACAACAATTCTAAAGTTCCATCATGCATTTGTTGTCAATAATATGATATTATACCAGTCGATTATTCTAGCAGGTAATAAATTTGTTATCTGTATAAATCACCTAACAACAAGCAGATTATGATTGGACAATAACCCAACAAAGCACATTCAATAATATGATCTTAATGCCTCGGCAATATGGTATTATCAAGTATTGATAACAGCGTCTTGGTAAGAAAAATTATGGCAGAAAAAAGGTAGCTTTTTCTGTTAGTTAGGATTATCGTAGTAAAAAGGCTAACTTTAAAATCTGAATCTTAAAACTTTACATTTAAATCAGTGCGTGTGACGATGATGATTGTCTAAAATATCATATCTTTTTATTATATGTATTACTAAGCGATCTCAAGCAAATCAAGCAAATACAGTTTAAACAATAGATTGTAAACTACAAAGGCCGACATTTGCTCAGGAGCAAACGTAGCATGGCTTCACCACATTCCCCATACCAAAAATCCCCCTCTCACACAAATGGATTGTTCTTAAGTCACCCTGTTCAAAAAGTTCAAAATGGGCCTTATAAAAACCTTATCAATTCAGACTGTGGAAGCTTTCACATGCGCCATGTTGGATTACAGTGTACTTAAAGGCTTTTCATTTATGTCAAAATAATTATCATATGAATCTCGACGACCAGGTTTTGGCGGGAAAACTGGCATGTTGAACAGACATGCACTGTAATCCAACATGGAGGGTGTCAACTACACTTGTCGTTAGATAGACATTGGAACAACTAGCCACTGCCTCCAAAAATGGAGGTATGCATCAAAGAAGTCGTCGTAGCCGCATAGAGTTAGCACTCTCTGTCATTGCTTCTTCCTGACCTCCATGTTTTCTTCTCCTCCTTGATACCCAACATCATAGTAATGATGACTCTGGCATGTTTATATAATAGGGTGCGCTGTTGCCGTCAACGTTCGTGCTCCCGATCTGCTTATTGTTACTAATCCAGTGTATGAAAGTCCGTGTCTAGTCCCCTTCTCCCGACCACGGAAGCCCCCTGCCAGACAGACGTCGTCTAGACGTCATGTCTAGACGTACGTCGCGACAGAGCGTATATATATGCGCACGGGGCCTGACGAGCTCATTCTCGGGTAGTACACGCGCAATCTGCTCTCATCGTAATCTCATTGCTTTGCCTTGCTTTGCTTTGAATTCGAAGTTTTGGAGAAAATGGCGAGGAACAATAACAACGGTGAGCCCGATCATATTTTCAGTATTGTTCGCTACACAGTTTCATCTTGCCCATAGAACGAATCTCATCAACAGAAACCCTGGCTTATTCATGCCGATTGATTAGGAATGTTTCGGGCTCTTCTACCGCCAAATTCAGTGCTCCCCGGTAGGACATTCACTACGACAGTAGCAATCAGCTCAAACTCCTGCCGTAAAGAGAAGAAAGTCCTACAGGCGCAAAATTCCCATTGATCGGGGACAAACTTGTACAAAAACAGTACATGTACAAAAACAGTGTAAAACTTCTTAATGTTGGAATCTGTTACTTTTTTGGAGCTGGATGTTATAGGTAAGGGATATTTGCATTTGATTATGTAAAAAAAATGGAGTTTGTGTCATGTTTGGTGTGTCCAGACCACAAAAGAAGTCCTGAGTTTCCATGCTATCATCAGCTGGTGATAGAGGTCAGAGGTCACTTCTGAAAGTTTGTGCTAGCGTTTAAATGCCTTTAGAAGTATAGGATTTTTTTTATATCAACAAAACTGACAGTTTAGAGGCCGAGTGACCCTATGAATGTGTGCTTTTGATGCGGTTTCACTCAGGCAGGTGACTTTTCACACCTTCTTTCTTACATGTTTTCCATACATTTCAATGGGACAGTCCATTACCGGTCTTTGCCCTGCCACAGCCTGCATCGTCACCCACCACCGGGCCCTGAATGCCACAGCCCGGCCATCGGCTTGCACGCTCCCCGGCCCGACCACCGGCCGAGTCACGCCCTCCAGCCCGACCACCGACCTGAGGGGCCGTCCGGGAGGACTGCCACAGCCTGCATCGTCACCTACCACCGCGACCTGAGATGCCCCGGCCCGACCATTGGCTTGCACGCTCCCCGGCCCGACCAGCGGCCGAGTGACGCCCTCCAGCCCGACCACCGGCAGGAGGGGCCATCCTCCATCAGCGTGGCCTGCCCAGCGGATGTCCCCAGCCCAACCACCGGCGAAGCCTGACCACCGGCTGGGGAAGCCCCCGGCCCAGCAAAAGGTACATATTTCATTCATGTCTTGTGGGAAATGTTTGTTGATTGATTGGTTGGTTTGTTGGTTGATTTGGTTGAACTCTGACTTCTCATCACAAAACACCACAACACACATCTCTCCTCTTCTCCGTCACAACACACCACAATACACAACTCTCCTACACACAACACACCATAACACACAACTCTTCTCTCTTCACAACACACCATAACACACAACTCTTCTCTCTTCACAACACACCATAACACACACCTCTCCTCTCTTCACAACACATCACAACACACAACTCCCTTAGAACACACTAGGCTGGTTGGTTGTTTGATTAGTTAGTCTGTTGGTTGGTTGGTTGGTTGGTTGGTTGGTTGCGTGGTTGGTTGGTTGGTTGGTTGATTGATTCGTTGGTTGGTTGGTTTGGTTGGTTGGTTAG